GGAAGACAGAATCTTAAGTCGAAATTGCTGATCTCCAGGGAAACGTTCACGGTGACCACAGACGCAAGTGACGTCGGAATCGGCGCAGTACTGAAGAAAAAATAGAGGACGATTGAATACGCCAGTAGAATTCTAACGCTATCGGAACGCAAGTATTCAACAGTAGAGGAATGCCTGGCAAGTGTTTGGGCGCTGCACAAGTGGCGGGCGTACTTACTGGGTCAACGCTTTCACGTCGAAACAGATCACAAACCATTGGAATGGATTAAGTCCCCCCCAAAGACTCCAGAGGCACGCTGGCCAGGTGGGTGCTGCGCTTACAGGAATACTTCACGATAAGCCACATATCAGGAAGATTTTTTATCGCGCCTGACGTGTGACGACGACTTGCCGAACGCTGCGTTCGATGTCAGTGGTTTGGTGCTGGAGCAGGATCCGGGGAGGTTGGCAACTGAGCAACGAAAGGATAGGCTGATAACAACACGAATGATGAACCAAACTGTGACAACCAAAAGCCAAGGCAAACAATTCGGGTCGTTCGTGCGGGACCTGGAAAACCTGCAAGTCAACGAAGCCGGAATTCTGATGTGGACACAAGGGCGAGGCGCTACCCCTAGGCTATCTACGCTCGAGATTCTAGTGTCCGAGATTGGTGAGTTATGGTCAATCGATGTGATGGGGCCGTTCCCATTAACGAGACGGGGCAATCAATATACAATCATGATGACTGAGCACTCTACCCGCTGGATTGAAGCCGCGGCAATTCCGGATCAGTGCGCTAGCACTATAACACATGGGGTGATGAGACACGTGAATTCCGAAGGCTATACTGAGGAGCCAGGGTCTATGCTTTGAGTGGCGAGTTCCGGACAGGTCCGGAGAAGCTGGGCATCAAGGACATACGATATACTTCCTATTATCTCCAGACAAATGGATTGACGGAAAGGAATAATAGGACGATTAAAGAATGGCTGGCGGCGAAAGGAGGATTGGGAAGAAACCCTACCATCACTCTTGCTAGCTCACCGGGCAAGCAAGCACGAGGCAATCCTCATTTCAGCTAATGTACGAACGAATGTATATATATATATATATATATATATATATATATATATATATATATATATATATATATATATATATAACCGTTTACGAATAGACATAGAGCCATCAGAAACCGTGGGACTAAAAAGGTACAGAAATAGTGAAAGAAAACACAACACATTAAAGTCCATGGTTTCGTCAGAGGGCGAGATACTACCCGGTTGCCCAAGCCAAAGTAAGGTGTTGACTTGGGGGACACCACCCCGAGCTTTTGGCTGAATAGCCTGCCCGCAAGGCAGCGGAGCGAATTCAGGGAATCGCGCCCATTGGGAGCCGGTGACTGATTGCTCAGTTCATACGCCTTTCGTTTGTTCCTTTGTCAAACGGGCCCAATGCTCCCCAGAATTACAGCCTAAAGTTGCTGGAATACAATGCTTCGCCAGGATGAAGCAAGGGGTAGTGACTTTATTTGGTGGCGAGTCACATCCGCCACATCACAGTGTTATTAAACGGACATATGTGGCTTCTTTATAGGGAGAACGCTTGCCAGGCGAAAACCCACCACGCCCTGAAACACTGCCACCAAACCATTTTCTGGAATGGGAAAATCCCAAACCACCCAGCTGGCACCACGAGGAGGTTGTTCGGCAAGGGACGAGAACAACGCCGACCAGAATCATCGCGCTTCGGTTTACGGAACTCAGTTGACCACTTGAACCGGATCAAGCTGCCGGTTGCCGCCGCTGGTGATTATTGCGGTTTCTACTGTATATTGCAACAAGAGCCTACGGGACTGATTACTTGATCCACGGTCGGTGCCATTTCTAAGTACCTTCGAAGCTAACCCTGTCAGATTAGTCTAATGTAACAGGTCACACAAACTGTGTCTCAAGGCTCGGTGGACCCTACTTCCACAATTTAAGCACAAGTGACGACGGTTCATAAATTATAAGCTAGGAGCGACCGGTGTGTAGTATGTGTGCCATGAATTGTGAAGTGAGTAGTTCTGCGATATGGCTAATTCGCAGACGTTGCTTAGTCTGGCAACGAGAAGCTTGTTTATAACTTAGAGAACAGTTAAGGCCACGCCTCGGCCTATACATATTCTAAAATATTCCGGACCATAAATTTTATTTGACGCTGAAACAGAACGTGCACTACTTGGTGGTATGCTACTATTACTCACTAAGCAGTGGAGTATTAACCCGCGAAAACGCTCGCAACTGTGTGGATGCAAGTGTTCCGTCGAGAGCTTGTTCAAGTAATTAAAAACTTACCACAGCCCTGAGTGACTCATCTCAATTAGATCGTCCGGGATCCCGCGGCAACAGTATTGACATAAATCTGAAGACTGCCTTGCAAGATAAAACGCAACTGTATCGACTCCCTAAACGAATTTCCGTTTATCATGTTGCTATGTGGTTCAAAATTTCCAACGGAAGACTAGGGGCATGAATGAAATAGCGTTCATGAGCATCCATTCACATGAACAATCGGTTAGAAGTAACGTCTGCCCATAGAACACCATCGTAAGCGGTCGTTACTCCTCGTATTTCGTATTTTTGTGCAACCAAATGAGTTGTAATTAAATTAACGACCACAGGAGCTGAACTTCAAAGAACCGAAATATGAAGTAGAGAATAATGGTGGCATACGTTTCCTATTGACATTTCCCGTTAGCCAAGACAAAGAGAATGAAGTGATCATCGGGTGTACATTTTTCTCGTTGGATAACTGACAACACTAGTCTTTCAAATCACGTTTGATCGATCGTAAATATTCGTCCTTTCTTTTTCGCCTTTTGGTACTTCCGGGCTAGCTTTTCGTTTTTCCGCCCTTGAATGTTGCTTTGACGTATTGCTTGTCGCTCTTTCTTCATTTCTTCAACGTGTCGCTTTCTCTCCTCCCACTTCTGGCGACGCTTCTGTTTCATTTTTCGAACTTTATCGGATGATCTTTTTAGAAGGCTCAAGTCATCCTTTACTTTAATGCCTAAAACAATAGCCAGATTTTGTAGTTTTGCGAGGAGAATGAATAGGTGTTGAAAAAAAACAAAATAAATCTGACCTATCATTTTAAACTATTAATATAATAGGCAATGTAAGTGCGGTGTTCAACATGAGGCGTCAGTAGGATGTTGGAGGGACAGATCTGAACTCATAGTTGTGTAACCGAATAGGACAGAGTTCCTGGGAGGGACAAAGTGGAAACTGAGAGATCAGTACTAGAGGTGCGCCCCCTGTACTCTTTACAAGCTGAACTCTGTACTGTATAAAAATACGTGAAACGGAAAATACGGTATCCACTGCAAATTGATCACGCAACAAGTTAAGAATAAAGGTAGTCTTTCCATTGAAATGAACGGTTGATCATCTACACAGATGCAATGACTGATATGCGTATGCGGAGCACAGGATCAACAGTCATGTGCGATTAAGTCAAAGAGGAGCACCCGGAAATACTAATATTTCGTGACGGACATGGTCCCTGTGATTGGTGTGTCAGCATACATTCGGCTGCATATGGGTATTCAGCCGCGAGTACTTCACATTGTGACTCACAATAAGCATATTTCTCAACAACACTTGTGTGTTAATGAAGGGTCGACAGAAAATAACAGTAGTATGATGATGAACCCAGCATAGAAACCTGGAATGCCAAAGGTGAGGGCGGGGTAAGCATGTAAGACGGGCTAGGCTATCTATCGACCAGTGTGTATTCCGCCCCAGCGTAAGTGTAGTGTGGTCCATGAGATATCACAACACAATGCAGAAGAGGTGAAACACCAGAATGCGCGGCCCTGGTTGAGTCAGATGGACACTCTTTCCGTAATCACCATGTAGTTGTATCATCTTTAACAGATTCACTTAAGCGTGCGAAGACAACACATTACTTTGCTGAGTTTTGGACAACTACTGCGAGTTCCCTGCTTGACCTCTAGAAACAGAGTCGAGAAGAATACAAGTGGAAAACAACCAATGGTCGTTACACGGTAGCAATATTCCCCATCTCGGGGCTACCGACCGTTTCCGAGAGCATCGTTGTGGATATCGCAAGATGGACACTGGCGATTCGATTTGTTCCCCCCTTGAATGAAGTTCCGTGAAGATTATTAGAGGTGAATCATTACCTAGGACTCTATCCTCGTAATTCCCCTATAATGCACTACAGCCCAGTCAAAATTTTAACTAATCAATAAGTAGGCCTTGACGCAGTGAATTTTGTGCACCTTCTGTCTGATCCCTGTGAGCAATCCATTTGATACTCCACGCACCATCACCTCCCGTCTCCCACCTGACGGTTTTACAGAAAGCTTCCATTACGTAGCCATTTAGAAGTAGGCCCATGTAGTGAACCTGAAACATTCACTTTTCCAGTATTTTACAACATTCGACTTTATTGAGAGTCATTTTGAAGTACACGTTGTGTGGGTGGACTGCGACGCGCAATCTCAATGTTGACCGCGATTCCCATTGAAGTGAACCTTGGCCTTCCGATCACGAGGACCGTAGCTGAAGCAAATAGAAATTGGGTATTGCCCGCCCGAATACACTGCACTACTATGACGCGTTTCGATGTTATTACATCTCATCAGACAGCGAGTTAGCAGCCATCGAACCCAGAAACATTGGGATGTTAGTTATAACTGCCAGGCTTAAGCCACCGGGTCACGACGGGAAACGCCTGGCACAACAGTATAATGAACGATGTTGAGAGACATTTTGAAGTACACGTTGTATGGATAGATTGTGACGCGTAATCTCAATGTTGACCGCGATTCCCATTGAAGCGAACCTTGGCCTTCCGATCACGAGGACCGTAGCTGAAGCGAATAGCGTTACCCGTCTTGACCTGGTGGCTTAGGGGTAGCGGTCACAACTAACATCCCAATGGTCCCGGGTTCGATGCCTGCTATCTCTATCTGATGAGGTGTAATAACACCGAAACGCGTCATAGTAGTGCAGTGTTTTCGGGCGGGAAACACCCAATTTCTATTAGATTTTATTGTTCCCTGTACCTAATAACCATCCATTTGACTGATTGTACCTCTTGATAACTTGCGCTTCCCCCGTGAGTTGTACGCTATGCTGATCTCTATTATCTGGGCCCCATCCTTTATTTCTCTTCGCAATACATGTTGGGTGCAGTCACTCGCCGTCCTCTAATCTCGTACTTAGCACGCCCTTACGTGCCATCGCTCGCGATTAACATGCGAGTAGCAACCCAGAAAACCATTTCCTCTCCGACCAATCGGCATATCCAAATATGGGAGGCAGTTGTTTCGTTCTACTTCGCTGGTTACCTTAAAACTGGCGCGTACGGTGATAAAAAGTAACCCGAGTCGTTTGATTGGTATTTCTGATGAACAGATATCGTTTACGTAGCGTTTGTAAAACGAGAGAAGAGCGATTTTCGAGATTATCTTTGCACTCGCCGTAGATACAAAGGAATCCGCTATTATCAGAACTAATGGGTCGCCCACTGCCACCACCTATTTGGTGCTAAGATGTTTTGAAAATGAAGACTAATATTTTCGATGCGGAGTAACAGGGTGTTTCTCAACAGATCGATAGGTACTGACAGAGACAAGCCTGGATGTTCTGCCAACTCATACATAATCAATGGTCTCTTGTAGTAGAACTTCGTAAACAGCAATTGCACATCCAATGAACACATTGCTTTATCGGATGAGTTAATGTTACCAAGGGTTTCAATCAGTTCAAAGAAGCCCTTAATGCTGTGTGGAATAACATGCCTCGACAACGATTCAATAATGTTCATAAGCCAGCAAGTAAGCTTGTGTTGCGGTGAGTTTGCCATTCATAAAATTGGTCCGAGCGGTGCGCTACTCTTATGGGTCTTCGCTAACCCGTACAACTGCGGCGTGGTGAAGTCACCTGATTTTAGGCTAGTGTACGTTCTTTTGCCAATCCTTTGATGTGCAAGGAGTAGTTTTAAATGGTTCTTGATGCGACTTTTTATCTCACATAGTCTGCTTTCTCGAAGCGTTTAAATTTGCTGTCATCGTTACGGATCACTTGCATTTCTTGCGCGTAATCTGACTTGTTCATAACAACGGATCCAAAGCCGTTGCCCGGCCTAAGTACCACCACATATTAGGTTTTCAGACGACGATTCGTAAATGCACATTTCCCCCACAGGAGTCGGTATGAGCTAGTGGACAATATCAGCCAATTTATTGCTAAACCAGCTAAGTTTATCTGCATTAGTCGACTGGACCACCATAAACAAGTGACTGAGATTATCAGGAGGAATTTTATAGTCCAATCCGAGCGGTAATACCCCCAGTTGTAAGTAGTCCAGTGAAACGTCGACAGGTTCGATCCCAATAAGCATGTGTAGGTCGTGAGTGGAACAATAATTACATAGTTAAAGCTGCAAAATCAAGAGTATTCGGGCAATCAGTAGGCATCATGGTCGAGGCAAGTCCTCAAAGAAAGCGTGGCAAGCCTACCTTGAGCTTTCAACGTTGCTATCTTCCACTTTTTGCGGAGCTCTTGACAGACATCAGGAACTTCATCTGTGGGTAGTATTGCCATCCGTTTTGCTTTGTGCAATAGCCTCGTAGAGTCCTTTCCCACAAGAATACCCTGTTTCTCTAGCTTCTGCAGTTTACTGCTTTGTTTTTTATCGAGCTTTCGCTTCAGACTTGGAGTAACGATCTGGGTTTCATCGAATAGCTGAATTCTGGAAAAATAATACTTGACGATTGGAAAATACGAAAAGCACCACTTACGTCCATCTTGAGTAACTTCAATGTAGCGTCAGAGTTTAACGGTCATAATTTTCAGTGAACCCGGGACACCTGAAGACAATGGAATGGATACAGAGACAAAGGAAAACATAACGAGAGCCAAGAGCACGATCGAGCTAACGGGTAAGTCAAAGTAACGCAATGCACACAACTGCCGGTCACGCAAGCCACCACAAGCAATTTCTGTGTGAAATGTAAAATGTGACTCAGTCACATGGCTGCTGGTTGAAAATCCTCTGGACAGCCAAACCTGCAGAAGACTTGTCGCATTCTTGATGTAGTGGCATTGGTTGTGCTCTCCATGAGAAACACAGCTATTGGCTGTAAAAGTCGATCACAATTGGAAAATTTCGGCCGTTGATTGTGTTAAGTTGCTCTGTAAACTATAGACCTACCCCCCTTACCGCGTCTAAGTTATTCAGAAGCCATTTTTAAAATGTATTAAAGTTGACATGATTTGTCTGTAAACTCAGAGAAAAGCTTTAATGATCGATACTATGTAGCGCATACTAGTCTGTTTAATATTTAGTTACAGTCAAACCTGTCTTAAGGCGACCACTCAAGGGACCGATAAAAAGTGGTCGCCTTGGACAAGTTCACGCATAAGGACATTACGCACAGGAGAAAACGTTGGGTGTTTTTGGCTGGTCGCCATAGCGTTGGACTGTATTTTCAAGAGAAGTTTTACCAGCTAGTGAAGACACATGGCAGCTATAAACAATACGGCGGAGCCTGTTGTATTGTAGTAGCAAGGCAAAATATTGTCAGCTTATACAAGTTAACTACAAAAATCATTCAAATTTAATAAGTCCAAAAATGTTCATACAACTTCAACAAATTTTAATACCACCATCATTCATTATACATGTCAGCTAGAGGTGGGAAACACCTCAGCTACTGTGTCGCAATACATAAAGGAAGAGGAAAATAAGTACAACAGTTGCATGCCAGCTGAGCTACCAGCAACGGATAGGCATCGTTCCGGTAAGCTACCAGCCGGCTACTAGGCAAAAAGAAAAATTATTATGTAAAATTATGTTACCCTACGAAATGAGATCGTGGTTGGAGGGAGAGGCTAAAAGGGATGGGGAGGGACAAATAAACTCACAACACGAACACCACTGAGGTCGGCTCCTTGCCATATCAGCAAGTGTATCCAGCCAAACGTGTCCACCGTCTTTTGGACCCCAACCAGGGAGCCGTGACGCTCCAACCGAGGCCAGCTCCGAAGTGAGGGCCTCATTCCTCTCGGCCAAGTCATCGCTTGGCCACCCCTCCTCTTCTTCCAACCACATCCCCGGCGAGCAAACAACGCACGTCGTGGAAGTCGGTGGGCTGGCATGTGCAACACGTGGCCCAGCCATCGGAGCTTGGTGCGTGAAATGACAGTGCTGAGCGGTTTAGTTCCTTTTCCTGTGCCGTAAACAAGGCGTCGAACACGCTCGTTACTCACGCGGTGTTCCCACCAGATGTGAGCCAAACTGCGAAGGCACCGATGGTCGAAGGTAACCAGCCTCTTCATGTCCGCCGATCTTAGGGGCCAGGTTTCGCAACCGTACAGTGGGGTCGAACGTACCGCAACATTGTACACTCTACCCTTCAGGACGAGAATGAGGTCGCGCCGCCGCCATAGGAGGCGAAGGTTAACAAAAGCACTTCGAGCTTTTGCTATACGGTTCGTGATCTCGTCTTCGATCCCAAGGGCGCTGATACAACTTCCCAGGTAGTTGAATTACCGAACGACTTCT